AGGCCAGGAGTGAAGAGTTAACAAGGTTACATAAATCTGTCATTTTGTGGAAGTCTAGCATCTGATCATCCTAATTTGGGGCAAACTTCCTGTCTTGTTCCTGGTGAGAGGCAGAGCCCATATCTCAAAGTGGAAAAAACAACAAACAACAACAACAAAAAAATAAATCATGTATCACCTTCTCAGACTCCCTTGCAGTTAAGGAATGGGCAGAGGATCTATTTACACCAATCAGATATACCTTCTCTGAAATGGAATTGGGGCTAGTGACAGAACATCGGAGACAATGATGAATTTTTAAAGGTAGCAGTGGCAGTTCAAGTTCTAGTTCAAGGAACAGCCATGCAAGCTGTATCATCTGCAGAACAGGTCTCCTTTTATGTGGTCTTTTATTTACAGGGATGAACTCAGGGTGCTTAACCACTGAACAACATTCCCAGCCATTTTTATTTTTTATTTTGAGACAGGGTCTTGCTAAATTACTGAGGCTGGTTTTGAATTTACAATCCTCCTGCCTCAGCCTCCAAAGAAGCTGGGATTACAGGCATGCGCCATTGTGCCAGGCTGAATTTATATTTTTTAATAAACTATTTCACTACTTATATCAGAAAGTTGAGTTTTGTTTATTGAAATTAAGATTTCATACTGGTAGAGGCTACAAAGATAGGGACAAGATCATAGAATGCCTTTTATGTCATAATTAAGGTGATGGTCCATTATGAAAGAATGGCAAGTCACTGGAGGTAGTAAGCTAGAAAGTGATATGGATATATTTTTCATTAATAATACCAGTCATAAATCACAAGCGCCTAGCCAGGCATGGTGGTGCACACCTGTAATCCCAGCTTCTGAGGAGAACAAGGCAGGAGGATTGCAAATTTGAGACAAGCCTCAGCAGCTTAGCAAAAACAAAAGTAAAGTAAAAAGGGCTGGGGATGTAGCTCAGTGGTAGAGAGCCTCTGGATTCAACCCCGAGTACCTGAAAAACAAATGAAAAAATTCTAATAAATCACAAATGCTTGAAATATGGAAGGTAGCACATACAGAGACTGAGAATTAGGACTTGTCAATTTGAGCTATGCTGGAGTGGGAAGGGAGATGTGATTAAAGAGAAGGGTAAAGGATGACCCCCAGAGTGTCTAGAAGAATGGTTGTTCCTCAAACTGAGATTAATTGGAACCAGTTATATTACTTTGATTTTTTTCCTTTAACCTTTGTATTGTGAAATAATAGTAGATTTACATTCATGCTTGCAATCCCAGCAGCTTGGGAGGCTAGGGCGGGAAGATCACAAGTTCAAGGTCAGCCTTGGCAAAAGCAAGGTGCTAAGCAACTCAATGAGACCCTGTCTCTAAATAAAATACAAAATAGGGCTGGGGATATGGCTCAGTGGCTGAATGCCCCTGAGTTCAATCCCCATTACCCCCCCCCCAAAAAAAAAGAATAATATGGAGATATTCTGTGAATCCCTTACCCAGTTCCCCCCAGAGGTAGCATAGTGCAAAACTATAGTATGATATTGACAGGATATTGACATTGATACAGTCAAGATACAGATCACTTTCATCATTGATAAGTTGGACATCATCAAAATAAAAATATCTCACTGTGTGAAAGACCTTGTAAAGAGTCCCCGAAAGAGAAATTACAGACTGGGAGAAAATATGTGCAAACCATACATCTAACAAAGGATTTGTATCTAGATTATGTAAATAACTCTCAGAATTCAATATTCAAAAAAATGAGCAAAAGACATGGATAGTCACAGACATTTCCCCAAAGAGGATATACAGATGGCAAACAAGCACAGGAAAGATGTTCAACTTCATTAACCATTAAAGAAATGCAAATTAAAATCACATGAGATGTCACTACACACATACCAGAATGGCTAACATTAAAAAAAAAAAAAGATAATATCAAATGTTGCTAAGGATGTAGAGAAACTGGATCACTTATCCATTGGTGGTGGGAATGTAAGATGGTCTGGAACACAATTTTGTAGGCTCCTTTTAAAACTAAAAGCAGTCTAACTATATGATCTAGCAATTGCATTCTTGGATACTTGTTCCAGAGAAATACAAATCTATTTTCATGCAGAAATGTGTGCACAAGTCTCCATAGTAGCTTTATTCATAATATTTTTAAAAACCTGGAAATTACCCAAAGATCATTCAGTGGGTATATGGTTACAAATGTGACATCCATACCATGGAATACTACTCAGCAATAAAAAGAATAAGCAATCAATGCATACAATGTGGATGAGCCTCTAGGAACTTATATTAACGAACCAAACTAATCTTAAAAGGAAGGACACAGCCAGGAAAGGTGGTTACACACCTATAATGCCAGCAGCTCAGGAGGCCTAGGTAGGAGGATTACAAGTTCAAGGCCAGCTTGGGCAATTTAGCAAGACTGTCTCAAACTCATAGCTCAGTGGTAGAGACCCTCTGGGTCTAATCCCCAGTACCAAAAATAAACAAAAACAAGACAAAAAAAAAAGCAACAAAACCAGGAAAACATTTACTGCACAATCTCACTTATGTAGCACTCAAGAAATAACATATTTATAGAGATGGAAAACAGATCAGTGATTGCCAGGAGATGAGAAGGGGAGGAAGGTGGTTGTGGCTAAAAAGGGTGGCATACGAGTGTCTTTTGAAAATGATACAGGTAAGTATCTTGACTAGTTACACAAAGCTACATGTGACAAAACTGTTGAGGGCTCTATACACATATATACAAATGAGTGCATTGTTTAACTGGTGAAATCTGCATGTGCTCTAGGAATTGTACCAATGTCACTTTCCTGGTTTTGATATTATACTGTATTGTTTTTTGTTTTGGTGTTGGGGATGGAACCCAGGACCTCATACATGCTACCAAGTGCTCTACCACTGAACCACGCCCCAGCCCTGTACTACAGTTCTGCAAATGCTAAAATTGGGGGAGCCTGGGTGAAGGTGCATGTTTGTAACTAACTATCTGTGAGTCTCTTATTTCAAAGTAGAAAGTTTTAAAAACTGGGCTTATAAGCCAGGCACAGAAAGACTCCACTTCCACTCATGTGGAAGCTAGAAAGGTTGATCTAAGACAGTAGACGGCAATCACCAGGGGCTTGGAGGAGGTAGAGAAAGTTTGGTTAGCAGGTAGGAAACCACAGTTAGGATTAAATTGTAATGTTCTTTAGCAGAGTAGGGTATCAGTAGTCAATGATTTGTGTATTTCAAAATAGCTAGAGAGAGGACTTTTGAGTATTTCTAATACAAATAAATGGTAAATATTGGTGTGATAGGGGCTGGGGTTATGGCTCAGGGGTGGAGTGCTTTTTTGCATGTGTGACGCACTGGGTTTGATCCTCAGCACCACATATAAAGATATTGTTGTCCATAAAATTTAAAAAATATATTGGTGTGGTAAATATATTAATAACCCTGATTTGATCATCCCACGTTCTATACACCTGTCAAAATATCACACTGTACCCCATGAATTTGTGCCATTATTGTGTTAATTTTTAAAAAGAATTTTAAAAATCATGCTCAAAATCAGTACGATCAGCAGTCACAGAAGCGATGTGTCATTGTCTCACCACACGTTTTGAGACAAGTTTCAAAGCTGCAGCTGCTTATCAATGGCCAGAGTGCATGGAAGCCACAATGAGCCTTCTTTTCCCAGCAGTGAATTCACAGAGAACTAATGGTATTTGTTCCTTGTGTTGTCGATGAGTGTCAATGCCATCACGTGCTCTTGTTTTCCATTTTCACAGTGACAGGTTTGTGACTGGGTCACCTCACCCCACCTTTTCTTCCCCCCAGTGTGTGTTGGGGGGTGTCACGCTGAATGACTGGCATTTTCCTTCCCGTGATTGGCAGAAGCTCTGTCAATCACTTTTGAAATGACCTGGTCACCTTTATAGTGGCCTAAGGTGCTGCCCTGATCCTCTAAGTAGCAGAATGTGTCTTCATGTGTAGGCATGGCCTCCCGCAGCCCCAGGGGTCGAATTACCATATCTGTCCTTGTAACCCTGCCCCTCTTGACCTTTTTTGGATGGAACATTCTAAAGAATGAGGGTCCCCCCAATAAAAGTTCACTTCCCACCGTGCTAGCTCTTGCGCCAGCCTCTCATGACTTTCCTTGCTCTCCCATTTGAGGCCGAGAGCAAGGAGCCATCCTGAAGCTTGATTTAAGGGTAAAATGTGTGTCTGTGTTTTATTTGGTATCCCAGGAAATTCACTCGAGCCACCTTTATTTAGCTCCCCGCACTGGTGTGTGTGGGGGGGGCAAGTGTGTATTTAAAAGTCCTCTCAGATCTCTCCCCATCTCCCTCCCCACCCTCCTTAAAGCTTTTTTTCATAACCCCCCAATTTTAAAAATGGCCATTGCATATTCCCCTGTCTGCCCTATTTTATTTCCAAGATTTATGTAGCATCTTAAGATTGAGCCTTCAGCCACCCTGGAGTGTCTCGAGTATAAGCAGCCAACAAATCTTAAGATCTTCTCCATGGTGAGTAACTTTGCCTTGGGGTGGGGGGAGAAAGAAAAAGAGAGCCATCAATTATACAGCCTGTTCTTTGGAAAGCCTGAGTGTCCATTTCTTCTTTCTCCCTTAAAGAGGGGGCCACTTAGTCATTAACTAATAATGTCAAATCATACCAAATGCCAAAATGACAGTACTTCTGAAGAGTGACAGAGACCTGTAAGGGTAACTTTGGCACGACTTTAAAGCCACGAGGCCTCCTGTGAATGTTTTATTGGAACAAATCACTTCCTCTCAGGTTCCCACAAAGTCTCAAAGCTGATGATAGAAGATAATGTCATTTCCTTCTTGTATGGAGATAAGTCAAAGATCTTTAAATTCCCTGAATCAATGCCAAACAATGGTATATGAGAAGAGCAAAATTCATCCCCTAGGCTGGGCCTCTTGTTTATTTACCATTCATGGGTTCTTAGGGCTTTGGTAGCAACTGTAGCAATGTTCTATAGTAATGAGACATACCTACTCATCTTGGGAGAGAAGATATCTTGTTGTATTTTTGATATAACGCCTTGAATTCTAGAAGGCAAAAGTCAGAAAGGTTTATGTCAATGCTGGGGTGATGATGTTACAGCTCAAGTTCTAAATTCCAAGAGTGGCTTAGAAAAGGTTTACAGACCAAATCAAGGAAGTGGAGGTTTTTAAAAATACTGCAGATGGCTCCCCCCATCCTTTTTTTGAGGAGTTATTCTTAAATAAGGCAAATCAGCCACATGCAGAATGGGATCATGTACCCTTTCTTCACTTTACACACTGAGATTTTTTTCTTTTTCTTTCTTTCTTTCTTTTTTTTTTTATACTATGGATTGAACTCAGGGGCACTCAGTCACTGAGCCATGTCCCCTATTTTGTATTTTCTTTAAAAGACAGAGTCTCACTGAGTTGCTTAGCACCTCATTGTTGCTGAGGCTGGCTTTGAACTCACAACCCCCCTGCCTTAGCCTCCTGAGCCTCTGAGATTACAGGCATGCACAACCACTTTCTTAATGAATTAAAATACCAGGAAGATGCTACCAAATATTTTCTGAAACTGACACATAATAGCTTTGTTATCATGATGTCTTTAGCTGTTTGATGGTTTATGCCTCTTTGTTGCCTTAGATGATTTTCCTTTTGGCAATCAAAGTTCATTTCATATAATCTAGCCATTCAGAGGGTCCTTCTGAGTCATTCCCTAGGCTGACCACAGACAAACTCCATGTGCACCTAGGAATATAACAAGCCACGTGCCTGCCAGTCTATCTCAGATGCCCAGCGGTCATAGTGGGGTTTGCGATCACCAAGCCTCTTCAGAATGCCCTGGTTTTCCACAGTAATTCTCACCAGTTCGCGGTTCCTTGTTTCTCTGTTTAAGCTGAAAAACACAAAACCCAAGGATGAGTGAAGGAGAAAATGCTTCTTGAGGATGGGAGACGGGGAGGAGGTGAAGTTGCCATTCCATTTAGTTCCAGGCTGCCCAAGTGCAGGGAGGAAAGAGTCCTGCAGTGCCCTGAGGCCCCAAAAGCAAACCTGTCCTCAATCCCACTGCCCACTAGAAGATTCTCCTTTATTGGTCTGGGATGGTACTTGGGCACTAGGCAATTTTACAAAGCTCCCCCAGTATTATAATGTGAAACCAGGATCGAGAACCTTGAGTTTAAATGAAGAGGAAAGGCTCCCAATGGATAAGCCACAAATGGCTGGCTACAATTTTTAGTCCATCTCATAACCCTCAGGTTTCAATTTTGTTTGAGATATACCAGGATAGAGGAAAGGCATCTTCGTGCACACACACCTCCACCAAATTCCTTCCTTTGCATACACTTCTTTTGTAGCTCTGACCACTTCAGATTGGTATTATTTACGTAGATGTCTCCCTTTCTCAGACTTTGAGTTCTTTGAGGTTAGAAAATATATGTCTTATTTCATCTATTCCTGGTGCCTAGCACATTAATACCTACTCAGGAAATATTTGTGGAACCAGTTTGAATAATACTGTGTCATTGTCTCAGCTATAGTGTCTGAATGTCTGTGTGGCCCCCAAATTTGCATGTTGAAATCCTAACCCCCAAAGGGATAGTATTAGGAGGTGAGACTTTGGGGAGATGATTAAGTCACCCTAATGGGATTCATGTCCTCATGGGAGAAGTCTGAGAGAGATCCTTTTGCCCCTCCCACTGTGTGAATTTACAGTGGAAAGATGGGTTCGGTGCAGCAGGAAGCAGCCCTTCCCAGACACCTAATTTGCTGGTGCCTTGATCTTTGGACTTCCCAGTCTCCAGAACTGTCAGAAATAAATTTCTATTGTTTATAAGCTACCCAGTATATGGTATTGCAGCCCAAAAGACTAAGACATGTGGCTATCATTTTACAAAAGTTTGCAGTGCCTTCTTGTGATGAACTCTGAATAAAACTCTGAAAAGCCTCTTAGATTATATTAGTTCTTTGATGCTAGAGAAAGTTCTCCATTCTCAAAGTTTCCATTCTCAACATGGTCTCTTTGGTTACTCTTCAAGATAATTTCTTTTAACTATTCCTCTTGCTCATGAGAACCCAGGGGGAAGGTCCAATTTGACTTCCTAAAAATGGAATACGAGCCAGGTGTGGTGGTGCACGCCTGTAATCCCAGTGGCTTGGGAGGCTGAGACAGAAGAATCGGGAGTTCAAAGCCAGGTTCAGCAATGGCAAGTCACTGAGCAACTCAGTGAGACCCTGTCTCTAAATAAAATACAACACAGGCTGGGGATGTGGCTCAGTGGTTGAGTGCCCCTGAGTTCAATCCCCGGTACCAAAAAAAAAAAAAAAAAAAATGAAATACAGAAGAAGAACACTACCTTTTGGAATAGTATTCATTCCAGCAGTCCACCTGGGCAGGGCCCCGATGGGCATTGGCAATTTTCTGACACAGTTGCTTATTTTCATACTCGATTTTGTCGATTCTCTTTTGTTCACCCTGTTAAGAAACCCCACCCCACCATGACATCACTGCTGTACTTGTTCTCACACATGAAGGCTGAGCATAATTCTGCTTTGGGACTGTGGGTCACTATAGAGAAAAGCAGAGCCTAGGAAAATGGAGCTGACGGGTGTGAGGAGGTAGAGTAAAGCTTTGAGATAGGTGGGTATCTAGGAGGTTCTGGGAAAGTGACTCTCTTTAGGGTAAAGATTTAAAAAATCAATATAATATGCCTGCAGATGACAAGAACAAATACCTGTAGTCTGCTCAATTTTAAAATGTGATGTGTGTGCGCCATTGGAGGTTTGGTATCGACCGCAGGCTTTACTAGAAAAGAGGGATAAAAGAACAATGTTACTGCACAGGAATCTTAGTGATGGCCTCAGAAAATCTACTAGAATAAACTCTGACTAATGAACTTGATTTATGACTATATTCTGGCCAAGATCTCCCCCGCCCTTTTCCTGGTACTGGGGATTGAACCTCGAAGCATTTTACCACTGAGCCACACCCCTAGCCCCCCGCCCTTTTTAATTTTGAGACAGTGCCTCGCCAAGTTGCGTAGGGCCTCTCAGGTTTTCTGAGACTGGCCTCGAATTTGCGATTCTCCTGTCTCAGCCTCCTGAGTCACTGGAATTACAGGTGTGAGCCACTGCTCCCGGCTCTGAAGAGTTTTGAGCAGAAGTGAAAGAATGGTGAGGACATTTTACAGAGATAAAACAGCCTTTGTCTATGGACATTGAAGTCCTATCCTCTTTCTAACTTATTTTGGCTTTAAAGAGTTTAAAATAATGGGCTGGGGATGTAGCTCAAGCGGTAGCGCGCTCGCCTGGCATGTGTGCGGCCCGGGTTCGACCCTCAGCACCACATACTAACAAAGATGTTGTGTCTGCCGGAAAAATAAAATAAATAAATATTTTTTTAAAAAAAAGAGTTTAAAATAAGTGTTTCCACCACATGAAGTTCCTGGTGGAAGATAAATTTTGTTACTGATATTAATGTCCTCTTGAATAAACTTAGCAGAGAAGACCATATCACCCCAAAGTTGATAGTTCTATGGTGGACTCTTGGAGAACCACTTATGGCAGCATCCAACCGAAACTATCCACATACCTATCTGTATTCTATTCCTGTGAAGTATGTAGTGGCCAAGGTCCAGCTTTTTCCTGAAAGTTGTGCTTTGCCTATGATTAGAGACGATAACAGGGTAGGCCAGATAATCCAGGGAATTGTTCATCTTCTCTTTCTAGTCTAACTTCAGAAATGAGGCAACTAGGTCTTCTGTGAGGTACTTAGCTGTCCCCCCGACAGGTGTCATAGTTATCCAATTATGACATCAGGGTCAGGTCTTGGGAAAGGAATAGAAGCAAGAGAACATGCTGGCCATCTCTAGGCATCTACTTTTGAAAACTTTGTTTTTATAATTAAATTTTTTTTATGTTGACATAAAATTTGAACATATTTGTGGGATGCAGAATGATAATTTGGTACATTTATTTGGTGTGTAATGATCAAATCAGGGTAATAAGCATTTCTATCTCCTAAAATGTAATTCTGTGTGTTAGGCTTCTATTTTTCATGCTAACCTAGGTCTAAGTCAAGATCAAGGGCAGGTGACTCTGAAGTTCCCCCCCCCCTCTGACTTGTATGTAGATGGTAACAATGCTGGAAGGAAAAGAGGGTTGGGATGGCACAGGCATGGGCTGGGGATAAATTCATCCTTGGTTACATACCTTGGGCTATAAGCCAAGTAGTTTTTACTACAGTTTCCCTGAAAGGACAAGACCACAAGCTTTTGGGGGAGATGACAGATGGCCTTAATGATAATCTGATCCAATTTTATCACTTTCCAGATGAAGAAATTGAAGTCCAGATCACCAGCAAAGCTGCTCAAGAACCAAGGTAGTGGCAGAGCTGGGCTCAGGATGTGAGTCCCTAAATTCCAGTGACTGGGGCTGAGGTTGTAGCTCAGTGGTAGAGCACTTGCCTAGCATGTGTGAGGCACTGGGTTGGATCCTCAGCACCACATAAAAATAAATAAAGGAATTGTGTCCATCTACAACTAAAAAATATTTTTTTAAAAAATTCCAGTGACAGTATTTGCCCCTTTGGAAAGTAGAATCTCATTTTTTTTCCATGAATGGGGGAGGGCTGCTTTCTTCCAAGACAGTATGCTTTTGAACTTAGTGGGAACTCAGCAAAAACTGAGCTACTATAGCTGCTTCAGGAAGGGCTGCAAAGGCGTCTGAGTGATGTTGACACTAGTATGGAATAGCACCCAGTGGATGCGTAACACATTCATTGTTGAAGGAAGGACTGACACTTACTGAGTGCTCACTATTAGTGCTGGGTGATTTCATGTCACATTTAATCTTTCCAACAACACTAGAAGTTAGGAATTTAGTATCCCTTATTGGAAATGCATGGGACCAGAAGTGTTTGGATTTTGTGATATTTTAGGTGATGAGGTACCCAAGTCTAAACATGACTATGTATATACACCTTCTATCCACAGCCTGAAGGTAATCTGTACAATATTTTTAGTGCAGCGGCATTTTGACTGTAGTGGGTCACAAGCGGTCAGGTGTGGAGTTTTCCACTTGTGGCATGTCCGCACAAGTTACAGATTTTGAAACAGTTCAGATTTCCACATTAGGAGTGCTCAATCTGTGTTTTTAAAATTTTTATTAACACCGCTTCCTCCTTTTCTTTAGCAAACAGGCTTAGAGAGTTTTATTTCCCAGGGTCAGAATTCCAAGCCTGGATGCATAGAGTCCAAGCGCGATGTGGACTCTCAATGACCACTGAAAACAGATGTACCACAGAGTAGGGCTTCTTAGATTTTGGCCTCGTCTGGATCCCCTGGGGTCCTCCATCTATTCGATTGGCAGGTGACATGTCTGGGCTTGGAGCAGATATTCAGCGGACAAGCCCGGGACGGGGGTGAGGGGTGGGGGTGAGGGAAGATGCCAAAACTTCTGGTCTGCAGCAGAGTAAGATTTCACAGTAGACTCCGGTGTCCCTGTCATCCTGAAAAAGCGACACCTGGGTGTACCCCCGTCCATGGGAATATTTACAGCGCCTTGAATTTGGTTCAGTGAAGGAAGTTTTTGAACTTTTCAGTTTACAAAGATACCGAAACTGCCTAGCCGAGGGTGAGAGAGGACCCTAGACACTCCGGAATGGCGGCATTTCCGCCCAGGGACGCCCTGCGGAGCGTGGGCCCGGCGCCGGGTTGCGCGTGTCCTTCTCAAGCGGAGCGCGTAGGTCCCGTGCGCGCTGCACGGCGCTCGGCAGCTTCCCGCGCGCGGTGGTCCCGCCCCCGGGGCGGCTCCCGGCTCGCCAGCCCCGCCCCCTGACCCGGCCGCTCTCCCCTCGCTCGCTCCAGCCCGGGCGCGCAGGGCCCGGCCGCCGCCATGTCGGGCCCGTTCGAGCTCTCGGTACAGGATCTCAACGACTTGCTCTCGGACGGCAGCGGCTGCTACAGCCTCCCGAGCCAGCCGTGCAACGAGGTCACCCCGAGGATCTACGTGGGCAACGCGTGAGTCCCTCTTGCCGGCGCGGCATGGGCGCCCCTTCCCGAGCACCTGGCCCACCCGAAACCGGGGTGGGGACATTGTGGGGAGCCCGGGCGCTGTCACCCCTCCGGGAGCGGGAGTGGGGGCTGGAGACGGGGCTGGAGTCGGTGCCCACCCCCGCGCATGGAGCTGAGGCGCTAGTTCCTGGCCGGCCGGGTCGCGGGGTGCGCTGAGACCGAGGGGTGCAGGCCTAGCGCTCAGCTGCCATCCGCTCGGGGTTCGGCTTTGGGCGGGGTCGGGCTACCATGTTCACTTAACAGGTGGACCTCGGTAGCCCTGTCGGTCTCCTGCCCGCGCGTGTCATGTGACAGCAGCCTGGTTCTGCAGTGAGGTCACCGAGGAATGTCTGCCTCCGCTTCTATGGCAACGGGCTGACGTCAGGATCTGGGCGTGGTACCGTTCCCGACCCTGCAGGCCAAGTTCGGGGAATTGAAATAACCCCAAAGAGAGAGAGAGTTGGGCCAGGGATTTCCTGGCTCCTTTTCTTATCTTCCAGATAGAACTTGATTTAGATGGGATAAATCAAAATCGTAAGCCCAATAAAGGATCCGAACCTTCTCATCACCAGGAAATGCATTTATTATTTATTACTACGTGTTCTTATCAAATTGATTTTCTATTTTCATACTACTAATAAGAATTCCTCAGCAGCAGGATAGAACCAGGGTTAGCAATTCTGAAAGGTGCTGAAATGCCAGCAGGTCTACAGCCTGGGGAGGGCTTGGGTTGGATATTCATGAGACTCAGAGGACTCAGTTATCAAGGTCCTAAACTCCGTTGCCCCAGCCCAAAGACTGCATGTTAAGAACCAGTAACTAAACCCTCATTTTATACAGGAGAAAGCGGTGACCCAGAGTGATTGAGGGATTGTGAGGACAGGGCCAGGGTCTTGTTCATATGTATGTGGCTGGTCCTGCATTAGCACCTGCTGCTTAATCTTAAAATTACTGCCACTGAAATGGGGGTTATTATGGGTTCATGAGGCAAGGTCCTAACCTCATGGGGACAGGTCTCATCTGTTCCATCACTTATTTATCACATTGAGCACTTGCTAGGTGTCAGACACTGTGCAATGTTCCTTCATAGTCGTGATGATAATAATGATAATGGTTAATGTGTAAACTGTTGAATTAACACTAGAGAAGGGAGATGAATGGGAATGACTCTTCTTTGTTCTTTCTGTCAGCCATTGCTTTATAAAACTGTTCAGTGTCCTGAGCAGGAACAGCTAAAAAGAATCTCATAGTGTCAGCCAGTGGCCCAATAATTGCAGTATTCTGAGGAAACCCTGCCTACTCACCAACTACCCAAGCAGCAAGCAGGCTGTCAGGGCAGTTTGGCACATGGAGCTGTTGCTACTTCCCAAGTGGAAACCAAGGTTGTAAATATCTGGTAGTAGCCAGAGTGACAAATGTGGTAGCCACTGTAAAAAAATGTATCCCTTGTCCTCTATTCAAATATTAGGGTATTGGTGGTGGGGGGGTGCTCAGTGGGGTCAACTAACCATCTAGTGCTGAGAAAACTCAAGTCTACTCCACTCCCCCCCCAGAGCTCCTAAGTAAAATTAGGGTTCCATCCATGTCCTTGATGGGCAGGGACAGAACCTTTGTGAGCCATATTCTCCATGTCTTCAGGTGTTGGAGTTAGTGTGGGCATGTGAAGCAGAGGAAGGTAGGAGTGAGAGCAGGGCTGGATGTCGGGAGAAGGGAGATCTCCTCCCAGCTCCAGATCAGCAGCCTGTGTGTGCACATGCACATCCCTGTGTCCTGTCCTATCTTTCTAGAGTTTAACCTCTGTCAGGTGAGGGCATTTCCCTCCTTTTCTCCCCACAAGGCTGCTGTGGGGAGATCATGTAGGAAACACCACTATGATGTAATAACTGCTGTTTGAATTGGGGTGTTGTTGTGAGATGAAATAAAGGGACCCTTTGACCATTCAGATCAGGTATTTTGTAATTTCCATAGTTCTGTTGAGACTCCTTATTCTCCAAGGGCTAACTCACCCAAGACAGCTTCAGAAACAAGTTTAGAGGAGTGTGACAAGAAGGATTGCTTAGTGAGACAGGGAAGGGGCTGCTTGGCATATGATTATTTCATTCTTTTTCACTCATTTACCACATATTTACCCAGCACATACTATATGCCAGGCACCGGAGCAAGTGCTGGAGAGACTGACCTGAAGCAGACATAGTTCCCTTCTCAAGGAGCTCACAGCCTCCAAACAAGTACAACCACATGTTGGAATAGTAACCCTTGCTGTGGAGTCAGGCTCCATCAACAGAATGGCTCATTTAACACTCATAACTATGCTAAGCAATTGGCACCATTACCATTCCCATTGTACTGAGAGGGAAATGGAGGCAGAGAGAGGTGAAGTGGCTTGCTCAAAGTTTTCTGGTAGGCTGGATCCAGACCCAGGGAGTCTAGCTTCAGAGCTGTTTTTATTCACTTGCCTATGTCACCATAGAGAGAGCATGTTGCCATATGGAATGGAGGGGAGGAAATAGTGCAGAGGGTGGTGAAAGATGAGAGGGTGCATGTCTACAGAGAAGGCTGGAAAGGGTAGCAGAGGGATAGCTTGGGCATGAAACCACCAGTCTATTTGGGGAAGCTGCTGGTAATTGGATATGGCCAGAGTGAGGAGCAAGGTCATAAGATGAGATTGTAGAAGCCAGCTGGGTCCAACACACAGAGGGTTCCTTACTTTGCCAAGAGGCTCAGATGCTTCCCCTCCTTTCTCCCCTGAGGCTGCCAGTTGGTCAGTTAATCATAATCTGCTCCTGTCTCCTCTCCAGGTCTGTGGCTCAAGACATCCCCAAGCTGCAGAAACTGGGCATCACTCATGTCCTGAACGCTGCTGAAGGCAGGTCCTTCATGCATGTCAACACCAATGCCAACTTCTACAAGGACTCTGGCATCATCTACCTGGGCATCAAGGCCAATGACACACAGGAGTTCAACCTAAGTGCTTATTTTGAAAGGGCTGCAGACTTCATTGACCAGGGTTTGGCTCAAAAGAATGGTAAGGGACTTGCTGCTTAGGAACAAATGGAAGGCAGCTTTGACATGGACTGTTTTTCTAGAAAGACCCACAGCAGATTTCCTCTGGGAAAACATTTCCTGTTCCTTGTAGTGAATGAATGAGAACTTCAGGTTTCTCTCTGCTTACCTGCTGCCTTTCAGGTGGCTCCCACATTGTACAAGACATTCAGCTCTTTAACACAGTGGCAATGTCAGGTCCTTGCATTGGAAGCTTTTGGCTGAGGTTGGTTTCTAGCCACTTACCTCTCCACCCAATTCAAATAGCTCTAATAATGAGGAAAATCTATCCTTGTTCCTGATAAGAAGTCTTCAGGCAAAGGAGCACCAGGGCTAATTGATGACACAGCTCAATGGTGGTGTCTGGACTAGGTTCTTTCTTTTGCTACCTTCACTGTTAGGTACACCGCTCTGGTCCCAAGATGGGAGCTGGCTACCACACCCCAACTAGACAGAGTGCAGCAGATGAGCAGTCATTTCTTCCTTTCATTTCTGTCCTTTTAAGAGCAAACAGAACATTCCCCCGAGTTCCTCCAGTGGGGATCTTCTCCCATCTCATTGGCTAGGTACTTACATGGCCAGAGGAAGTGGGGCAGCCATGACTGGCTTAGGTTATGGGTCAGCCAGTCTTTAAATTCTTCCTGCAGTCCTCAGACATAGGTGGGACTGAAGGGGAACTACAGAGGGGCTGGTGGCCAGGCAAGGCATGCCAAGGAGAAATCCTGGGAGGCCACAGGATGGACGTCAGTTGAGTGTTCTGGGCACCTTCCCCATATGCTTTTAGCTCTTTCTCTCAGCTCTGCCCATTGCCTCTTCCTCACTCTTTAGGGAGGGGGTGACCCCAGGAGTCACTATCAGCCTTGTTTCTAATACTTCTTGGGCCTAGCAGCCTCCCTATCCAAATAATTCCCAGTGCACAGTTTCCTAGACCACTGGCTAGCACACATTCAGGGCTCAAGAGAGTTTTGTTGACTGGGAAACTGCAGGCTCTACTGTCAGGCCTTCTTCATGGTCACTGTCACTCCCTACCCTAGCTTGCCCTCTTTCCTCCTGCTCTGCTGAGTTTTTCACCTGGTACTGATGGAGAACAAGGGGCCCAGTTAAGGCCCAGTTAATCACTAATTAGTCATCCATTTAGGGGACTCGGAGTTCTTTTACTTTGTTTCCTCTTTCCAGTCAACCAGGAAACATACCCTGGCTTCTTTTGATCTCCTGCTGTAGTCCATGTGGGCTAGATCTTCAGTCTGGAAAGCTCTCTCTGCCTCCCCACTCCTCTGTCCTCTAGCAAGCTTTCTTTCATGCTGTAGGGCTGAGCACAGCATCCTCTCTTCTGTGAACCTGCCCTCAAGCCGGGTCCTCTGTGTCCCTTGTCCATCTCCCCAGCATCTGATGTAGCATCAGGTGCATTCTGTAGTTGGTATACTGCAAATGATTACTGAACAAGTGACAATGAATTCCGTGGGCTCAAGTGCCATGTGTAAATGGTTTCAAGACTGGGTGAGTGAGTCAGCAGAAATATACTGGTCTCAAGGGACCAAGGACCAATCACTAAGAGAGCCAGATGGGATGGCTGTGGGGGTGCTCAGAGGAGAGCGCTGTACTTCCAGCTAGGAAGATCAAGAGAGGCTGTGTGGAGGGGCTGGCATCTGGGCTGGACTTGGATGCATGGTAGACTGTGTGCCCTGGGCATAGAGCATGTTCCAGTTGGCAAGGTGTCTGCTCTGCAGAGGGTCCTGTTCCCAGGCAGGGCAGGGGAAGCTCCACTGTTTTGTTTTGTTTGTACTAGGGATTGAACTCAGGGGCACTTAACCACCGAGCCACATCCCCAGCCCTTCTTTGTATTTTATTTAGAGACAGGATTGTTTAGGGCCTTATTAAGTTGCTGAAGCTAGCTTTTAATTAGCAATCTTCCTGCCTCAGCCTCCCAAACTGTTGGGATTACAGGCGTGTGGCTTGGTGCCTGGTGGAAGCTCCACTCTGAATGCTGTAGGTATAATGGCCAGGGAGTGAATGGGCAGGAAAGTGGAGGCTTCCCACCTCTTGATTTGGGAGGCTCTGGGAAAATAGAATGGTGTTCTGGGGTAGGGAGAGGAGGGCAGAAGAGCTGCTGTTTGACTCTGGGCCAGCAGATTTCCCTCCAAATAATACCAATGTGCTGGATGCCACAGGGGACTTCTCGTATTGGTTAATATTTATTGTGTACTCCGGAAAACCAGCCAGTAGACTGTGTATGAGTATACACACACACACACACATATATATATATACACCCAGGTAAGGTGTGTATATGTATATATGCACACGCACACACACACACACACACATATATATATGATTTATCATATTTATTTATTATATAGTAGGCCCCCTTGTCCTCAAGGGATATGATCCAAGACCCCCCCAGTGAATGCCTAAAACTGCAGACAGACATACTAAGCTCTGCACATGCTGTGCATTTTCCTGGGTGCCCTGTAGCTTGCCACATAATACCAGAGTTCATCTGCCTTTCCATGTTTTATCTTCTGGTGCCTTTTTTGCATCACTACTTTTGCTGTTTGAGGTCATTAATTTTTTAAATTAAAAATAAGTAAAATAAAGGTTACTTGAGCCAGGATCGGTGGACATGCCTATAATCCCAGTGGCTCGGGAGGCTGAGGCAGGAGGATTGTGAGTTAAAAGCCAGCCTGAGCAAAAGCCAGGCACCAAACAACTCAGTGAGACCCTGTTTTTAAATAAAACACAAAATAGGGCTAGGGATATAGTTGAGTGGTTGAGTGCCCCCAACCTGGCACTCACAAAAAAAAAAAAAAAAAAAAGTTACTTGAACACAAGCCCTGCAATGCCATGACAGCCAACCTCCCACTACTAAGTGACTCACCATCAGGTTGGATATGTTGTGGATATGCTGGAGGAAGGGGTGATTCACGTGCTGGGCAGGAGGGTGTGGGATGGCATGAGACTTCATCCCATTACTCAGAATTGCACAGAATGTAAAACTTAATGATTTGTTTATTTCTGGAATTTTCCATTTCATATTTCTGACCATGGTGGACCATAGGTAGCTGAAACTACAGAGCAAAACCACAGATAAGGGAGGAATACTGTATTATTTTATATATATACACACACACACACACACACATTCAGATATGTATGATTTATTAGACTGTCTCAATTTATCAGAATTGTCTCAAGTGATTATCAGGTCAGGCAAGTCTGAAGTCTGGATAACAGGGCCATCAGAATGGAAACTTAGGCAGGGTTTCTGTGTTAAAGTCTTGAGGCAGAATTACTTCTCTAGGAAACCTGATTTTGTCCTTAGGGTCTTTAACTCATTTGGTGAGTCCAGCCTACATGGTAAAGGTAATCTCCTTTAAAGTCCTTTGATGTAGATATTAATTACAACCAAACAAAACCTTCATAGCAACATGTAGTCTTGTGTTGTAACAAGCAGTTGGCCACTTCAGATTAGCCAAACTGATCTGTTTAACCAGCAAGTTAAAATTTAATTAAACCCAGGTTCAGATGGCTTCAGAGAGTTGGGGTTTAAACTCCTGTGCTGACAACGGAAATCTGGAACTGGTGACAGGAGGGCCAGTAGGAGTTTTCTAGGCAGCCAAGATGGAGAGAGAGAACAATACATGCAAAGGCATTGAGGTGAGAAAATGGCAACAAAGCAGTTGGCTTTAAAAGCCACCCTTTATAGACTAGACCCTACCCTCAGGATAATGACAGGTCATTTTGTATTTTAAAAAGATCCTTCCAGCTGCTGGGTGGAGTGTGGATTGGCAGTGGTGAGGCATGATGGAGAGAGCTGCTCTTAGAGGCGTTAAGGGGCACAGGTGAGAGATGACGAGGACTGGGCGTGATGGCCCACATCTATAGTCCCAGCTGCGGCTGCTCAGAAGGCTGAGGCAGGAGGATCACTTGAGCCCAGGAGCCTTAAAAAAAAAATGTGTATATATATATATATATATGAATGACAGGAACCTGAACTGAGCACTCTATGTGGGGAGGGGGGCAGAAATAGAGAAGGGCCTCCTGCCGTGTACTGAGACTTTGCTGACAATGACCTCTGGCCTCTCCTCTTTGTTCTTCCTTCATTCCTTCACCTGTATTTTACTTATTAGTGACCTCGAACAGCAAAAGTAGTGATGCAAAAAAGGCCCCAGAAGGCAGGCCAAAGGCAGACTGGAGTGCTGGGAGAAGGGGAGCAGGGGTGATATCAGAGGAAGGCTGGACTTTATAGGACCCCAGGGCCGCTTGGAGAGCCAGGAGAGGGCAGAATGTGTATATGTGTGTGTTGGTTTTGTTTGCATTTATACTTGACATCTGTCTTTTTTAAATTGTTTTGTTGAAATACATTTAGCTTTCAGTTAAATGAGACAACTGAATGAGTTTTGACACATGTGCACACCTGTGACAGTAAACATAGCCATCACCTCCACAAATTTTGCATGTCCTTTAGTCCTCTCCTGCCCCTTTGCCCTGTATTCCCAAGCACCTGCTGATTTGCTGTCTGTCACTAGAGATCAATATGCATTTTGTAGGACTTCATATCAACAGAATCAGACAGTGTGCATTTTTTATTTCAAGCTTCATCCATGTTGTGTCACACATCCCTGGTCGATCCCTCCCTTCTACTTATTGCTGAATAGTATTCCATTGACTGGATACATTACAGCTGCTTATCCATTCATCAGTTGGTGGATGTTTGAGTTCTCCTCGTGTTTCACCTTTGATTAAAGTACAAAATATACACAGAGAAGGTCCATGTCACAAGTATGTAGTTCTGTGAATGGCACACACCCATATATCAGCTCCCAGATTAAGAAAAAACAGGGCTGGGGATATAGCTGAGTTGGTAGAGTGCTTGCCTCACGTGTGCATGATCCTGGATTCAATCCCCAGCACCACACAAACAACAACCAAAAAAGCAGCTAGCTTCTGCAACTTGGGGAGACCCTGTTTCAAAATATTCAAGAAAAGGTTGGGGTCTGGGGTTGTGGCTCTGAGGTCGAGTGCTTGCCTAGCATGTGCAAGGCACTGGGTTCGATTCTCAGTACCTCATATAAATAAGTAAGTAAAATAAAGGTCCATCAACAACTAAAAAAAATATTAAAAAAGAAAAGAAAGGGTTGGGGATGTAGTTCTCAGTAAAGTGCTCTGGGGTTCAATTCCAAATACTACAAAAAAAAAAAAAAATGGAAGAAAACATAACCAGTCCCTTACATCCCTGGGAAGCCAGCTTACATCCCTCCTGATCCTCTGCCCCTTCCTCACTCCCTCACTCCAGTCTCGAACAGCACACGTCAGTCATGCCAGCTCTGCACTCTGTGGAACCATATTTATTTGTGTGCTTCATACATGTTGTTTCTGGTCAGTGGTAGATTGTTCATTTGTATTATTTACCCATTCTACTGTGAAGGGCCTGCGGACTCGAGTTTCCAGCCTGGGGCTTTTATGAATATGCTGACTGCAAATTCTGATCCAAGGGCTGGGATTGTGGCTCAGTGGTAGAGCTCTTGCCCAGCATGTGTGAAGCACTGGGTTTAATTCTCAGTACCACATATAAATAAATTAAATAAAGGTCAGTCAAATTCTGGCCCATGTCTTTTAGTGAACACGTGTGCACAGTCCTGTGCACTGGGGGTCCTCAGTGGCACTGCTGAGCCTTAGGGTGGGTGTTCAGCTTGAGGAGCTTCTGCCCCAGCTTCCAGAGTGGCTGTACTCTTTACACCCTGCCCTCCCTGGCTATCCAGAAGAGTCCTTGTTGTTCCACATCTTCACTGGCTGACTTTTTATTTTCTGTCTTTATCATTTTAGCCATTTTGGTGGCACCCACTGGCATTGCATAGTACTTTTTTTTTTTTTTTGAGATTGGACCCAGGGCATCCAGATCCAGCATCATGGGCAAACACTCTACTACTAGTAGAGCCACATCCCCTGCCCTTTTTAATATTTTTATTTTGAGACAGGGCCTCAGTTGCTAAGACTAGCCTCAACTTGTGGTCCTCTTACCTCAGCCTCCTGAGTACCTGGGATTATAGGCATGCACCACCATGCTCTGCTACATAATGCTTTTTTTTTTTTTTTTTTTAAGAGTCATGTGGTCAGATGTCCCCAGCTCACTGAATCTCCCCCGTTTCTTACAGGCCGGGTGCTTGTCCACTGCCGTGAGGGTTACAGCCGCTCCCCAACACTAGTCATTGCGTACCTCATGATGCGTCAGAAGATGGACGTCAAGTCTGCCTTGAGCATCGTGAGGCAGAACCGTGAGATCGGCCCCAACGATGGTTTCCTGGCCCAACTTTGCCAGCTTAATGACAGACTAGTCAAGGAGGGGAAGTTGAAACTCTAGGACACCCCCACAGCCTCTTCTCTAGAGGTCTGATGGGAAGGCCCTGCTTGAGGGTGTCCCAAGCCGCCATGTTTAGGAAACAGTTGTACCCTTCCCCCAGAGTCACAAGGCACTTGCCTACATGTCTGTCCCAACATGGCCCTGGGCCACTTCCCCCTATCCCCAGGGGGCCTATAAAGAAGCTTGCCAAGGAGGGCATTCTTGCTTCCTGATTGTCCTGTTCCTGTAATTTATGTCCTCTTCTTCAGGTGGGCACTTGGGAGGGGAAGGCCTGTGGCATGCATGCTTCTCCATGACCCAGGGCAGGAGGTCTCTGGGAATGTGAGGCCTGAGCCACTCACAGGGGCTCCTCATGACCTCCTTCCCACAGCCTAGATTCTCTCCTAAGTGGAGACCTCAGCACCTTGAGCCCAGTAAAGGCACTATGCAAGTGTGGCCCCCTCTGTCCCCACCACGTCTGTCACCTGGTTTCATCACAGCCTTCCACACCCTGCTCATGCACAGAGGCGCATCATGGGGTCTGAAGCTGGGCTGGGGGTATCGTCAGTTAGTGGATGGAAATTCCCGTGAAGAGGCTGCTTTTTAATTATTTCCTTAGGATTCAAGATATGCCACACAAGGAGCCTGCTTGGGTGGGCAAGCGCGTTCTCTTGGAGGACTCCCCTAAATGCATAGAATTTTTTTAAATGTGCCTCTTTGGAAGGCCAGAGTTCTGAATGCACTGCTTTGGAATATTTCCTTGGACTACTCTGTGACTTCGCTTGTTAGGAGAGCTATGCCTCGGGGCACGGTTTTATTTTTCTTTTTTAGAAAACAGGGTGTTGAGATCCAGCCTATTTAAAAACCCCACCATTTGGAGAATTACAAGGGTTTTGTCTTGAATTATAGTGTTGGCAAGCCCAAGCCACTCGTGCTAACTGCTTTTTTGTCCCAGTTGCTATTCCAAGAACCGGAGGAGGAAGTGAGCCAATTACAGCGTGTGTGCGGGGTGAGCGCGTGGGGGCGTGCCTCTCAGACCCGCAGCCAGAGGACAACAGGGAAAGAAGAGTTCCACTTACAGGTGGCTCAGACCTCTCTGGTGCCCTTGCAGGAGCCCTGGAGTGATGCAGCGAGAGAGAATGAGCCATGGCGGAGCATCCACCTGGGTCCTTCGCTGGTGGCAGAGCAAACATGAAAAGGACTTTTTAAAGATGATGTCAGAGTGCACACTAGCACAGTGTGTGCACATTTGCCACAAGATGGGAGTGTGTGTTGAACAGTCTTGCTGGGACTTTACATTCTTGTTATTATGGAAAGTAATGCAATGCTGTGTCTTCAGGGTCACTCAGGGCAGAGAGGTGGTCCTCAGCACTGCTCCCAGCGCCTACTCAGAGGAGTCTCATCCAAATTTCTGGAATTAAACTCTGGTTTTGAGTGTCAGATATATTTAGGGTGTTGTTCTAGTGGGTGTACCCAGCTCCCCGAAGTCTATTATAAATTTATGTGGGATCACTTGCAAGGATTTGCACAGGAGTCTTGCTTAAAGTGAAAGAAGTGTCAGGGACTTTTGTTGAATATTTAAAATTCAGCTTTAAATTTAAATTCTAGCAGTGTTCATGTCAAGGTGGGGAATGTGCCTTTTTCAGTGTACTAGGAGCTTCCAGCAGAGATGAGAAGCAGGTGGCCTAAAAGCCTCACTCCCAGGGGTGCAGACCTCTGATCACAGCAGGAACAGTGCTGTGCAGCCAGGACTGTCCCCATCCTCTTTTTTTCTATAAACACAATCGCCCTGAACAACGGGGATCTGTTGTCCTTACCAGATATTGAGCTGTCGAGAGAGACCCACCTAAATGGAGTGGTCATCCCCTGAGCTGTGGACCTCACATCACAGTTCTCACTTAATCTAACTTGATCCTCATGGGAACCCTATAAAGTTGACAGAGCTTAATCTAATCATACATTGTTACCATTTTTTTTTAAAGGAACCTGTGTTCAAAATGATTAAGGGCATAACCCCTAGTGTCCTTAAGGAGAACGGAGGCAAGATTTTAGGTTTGCTGTTCCAGGAAGCTGGATTTGTTCTTTCCTGTGATACAGCTCAAGAAGGGAACTCCCCAGGAGTGTCCAGGTTCACAGCTCACACCCTTGACCCAGCCCTGGAGAAGGAAGTGGAAAGTATAGGTCCCTAATGGGGTTAGAATGTGCAGTTATTCTTCCAGGTGATTTGTAGCAGCCCTAGGCTTTCTGGGTTCTGCTTCTGGAAGAGGCTCAGGAATAGGCTGTGATTACCCCAAAAGACAGTCAATTCTTAGGCAAAAGCTGCAGGTTGGCCTGGCTAATCAACTAGCACCCCTTGCGGGCGGGCCTCTCTGGAGGTATGAGGTGGGGAAGGCTATTGGGAGAATTACTGCCTTTCCTTTGGGGCTACTTTGCTGAGAACTTGGGATTTTTTTTTTCATTGTCTCTAGGCCTAGAAACCCCATATTTACTTTAAGAGATTTAGCTCCTAGTTCTTTAAGTAAAATACAAGTCTGTTGTGTAAGAGCCATCACATGCCCAGCCGTGGGTGGGAGCTGTTCTTGGAGAGCTTTTACCCCTGGGAGGTGATGGAATGGAACTCAGGGTGTCCCTCCCCATCCCCAGACCTGATCCCTTTCTTTGACTAACAGAGCCCCATCCAGGCAAGATTAGAGCGCCAAATTGAAGCAGTCTACCTTTCCATAGGCTGATCTGTTTCCCTGCCACTCTGAGTTACCTTGAGAGAATATACTACCACCTATCAAATGAGGGGACTTCTCTAGAAGACCATGTGGTCTCTTTTGGCTCCCACATTGTAGGGGCCTCTAAGCAAGAATTGCCATTTGAAATTTAGCAACTCCAGGAAATTAGAGGGAATGCATAATACTACAATGGCCAGCAGGTGGCGCTGTGTTCTACCCATTGTGATGCATGGTTCTGAAAGGGAATGTTGTGCCTTTTATGTCACAAGTTCATAGTAAGATGTTAACAATGTTAAGATGCTAATGTTTTAACCAAAATAAGCACTGATCTTAAATATTAAGAGATGAGCATTTCCCGTGGGAAATTTTATTTGTCATAAAACTAGTGTCAGGAATCACTAAAGAGCCAACAAAGATGGTCCTTCTGTGTCAAGATTCTGTCCTGACTGGAAATAGAAGCCATCTTAGGGTGAGAGCGAAGACTGGTTGGAAGCTTAACTTTTGTTCCATTTACCTCCTGCCAGCTTTTAGGATAATTTGATTATAAAGGAGTGGTCTCCTGGAAGGGGAAGGGGAGGTATCAAACTGGTTTAAAAAAAAAAAAAAAAAAAAAGTCAGGCTGGGGGTGTAGCTCAGTGGTAGAGCGCTTGCCTAGCATGCGTGAGGCCGTGGGTTCGACCCCCAGCATCTCTCTCTCACACACACAAAAAACGCAAGTTTAATGTCCGTTGTATCACCAATCAGTGTTAAAACACTAAAATTGTAACCAAAATAAATGTCTTACCTTACAAAGAAACAGACTTTGTTGTCTTCCTTATCTCAGTTTTACTTATATGCCTTGACTTTGTTTGCTTTTTCTGTCTTTAGAAACTATTGTAAAGGGGCTGGGGCTGGGGCTCAGTGCTCTTGTCTGTTATGTGTGAGGCACTGGGTTCAATTTTCAGCACCGCATATAAATAAAGATCTATCAACAACTAAAAAATATTTTTTTAAAAAAACCTAATGTAAAAATTAGCCCTCCTTAGTTAGAAGTTCAATGATGATTATATTTATGCAGTAGATATTTGTTGGACATCTTTCTAGTAACAGTTCCTGAACCATGGCCTTGCGAAGTGATGCCATTCATAAGGAGTTCAAATGCACAGAAGTTCCATTTCCAAAGCATATGCTGAAATGGGTTAACCTAAATGAACAAGTGGTGTTCAGTTCCTTAAAAGTGGATGTGAAACACATTTGTTTAATGTATATTTCTAAATGATTAAAATACCTACTTTAAAACCATGAGACATCTCTCTGGAAATCTGGGGTTCAGAAAATCTAGTTTGAAAGCCCAAGATCTAGATTTAGATCCAGGTTAGCATTCCTAGACCACAGAGTACTTGGGCCACCAGCCTGAGGAGAAAGGCAGGAAGGAGAGGGCAGACAAGCCTCCTACTTGAGCTGGCCTCAGGTCAGCCCAGCCAGCAGGATGTACCAGGAAGGTGTGTGTGGCGGGGGTGGGGTGGGGGGACAGACAGTCTCCAAAGGCAGCAGGGATGGTGGCAGTATGTGTGGCAATGGAGGAGTGACTGGTCCCCACCTCAGAGGGCCTGGTCTTCCAAGTAAAGTAAAGCTAAAGTTTTACCTTATTAGGGTTTGGGCAGCCATTGGTCTTTTCTAAGGAGAATGAGTGACAAGCTTTGGGGGGCTACTGTGCCCCAGGAGCTGCTGAATAAGCAGGGAATTTTCAGCTGTGCTGAGACCTTGAACTTTACAAAGAACTACTACTTTTTTTATTTTTTGGGTGCTGGGGATTGAACTCAGAAACACTCAACTACTGAGCCACATCCCCAGCCCTATTTTGTATTTTATTTAGAGACAGGGTCTCACTGAGTTGATTAGTGCCTCACTGTTGCTGAGGCTTGCTTTGAACTCATGATCCTCTTGCCTTAGCCTCCTGAGCTGCTGGGATTACAGGTGTAGGCCACCACACCTGGCACAGAGAACCAATTCTAAATGCAAGTAATGAAGTAATTTAGACATCCATCAGTGCAAGCAACTGCCTAGAAACTGATGCCTTCCCAAACCAGATATTCCCTTTGTATCACTGACCTGAGGGAGCACAGTCAGTTTTTAAATGTAGCCAATAAGGAGAATCCTTCATTTCCATTAATTAGAGATGGGCCTCATGAATCAAGTAGAGAATGAAACCAGATGACCTTCAAGATTCTATGATTCTGAGGAGTTGAGGTAGCATAATTTACTTTCCAAATTTGGCCTGGCCTTCAAAGTCAGATCCAAATGCCATGTCTTCTCATGACCTCCCCAGAGGGAGAGATGGTTTTCTCCTCTGAGGAAACAATGCTTTGTCTTTAAAAACAACAATAAAAACAAACAAAATCTGGCGAAGACATGCAACAACAAGAACTTTCATCCATTGCTGGTGTGAATGCAAAAGGGTACAGTTGCTTTGGAAGACAGTTTGGCCGTTTCTTACAAAACTAAACATCCGCTTACCAT